CCACTGCTGGACATAGGCCTCTCCTTAGAAAGGAGGTTTTGGCCTACGTCTGTATTATTGTGCCTAAATGTTTTATAAATTAATGTCGTATTTTTGTAATGTACACTAGGTACATTACAAAAATACGACATTAATTTTATATACCTATATTTTATCCGTGTATGTTTTATGTATGTAGTGTAGCATAAATAAATGGTTTAAATATGTAGGTATTAATTCTACTTCTTTATGCTGCTTAGAAACGTTTTCTTTTTTCTTCGTAGACGTAGAGGCTTAAGGAAATGGCAGAATTAAATAGCTACTTAAATACATCTTTTATAACTACTGTTTTTTAATGATGAAATGATTTACTTATCGAAAATCTTACTCTGATAAGTTAAAATTATACTAGAATATACTTACTATTCTGACAATGATATAACGTATTCTTTTGAAATGCAGATAGTAAAGGTAACTTTTATGGAGTGTTATTTTGTATATAAACTTAAGTATTTATTAGGCAAAGCTATATATAGTCAGCAGACTATAACCCGGCAATCTCGTGCGCGACCGTCCCGCGGGGTGACAGACAGTGGCGGGGCCGAGGTAGCGCGTCATTCTAGCACACGGCTACACCCGATTCCCGCTACACCACCCGCTACCCGCTGACATCTTGAGTACCTCGTCCCCGCCACCGTCTGTCACCCCGCAAGACGGTCGCGCACGACGTTGATGGACTATAATCTTGTAAACTATACCCTTGGCTTCCAAAACCTGATAACTCGTTTCAGAGTCTAAGACTTCAACTTTTAAATTTTATGTGGACCACGATCGATGGATGACGCTACAGATAGGCCTTGAATTGGGTAAAATATGAGTTACTTATTTTAAGGAGCAGAAAAATAAGACTGGGATAGAGGCTCTATGACTACTTTGAGTAAAACAATGCTTAATTATATGCAGCAACCATACTGTAGCAAACGCCATCTAGTAACAAGGAAACGAACTACTTATACCTAATTTACAATCAATCATTTATTTCGTAAAACACAGGTAAATTCAGATGTTACAAACCATATTTCGCCAATGGGCATATAAAACAATAGAAGTAATTCATTAAATCCTGTAATCATGTGATTACAGGACTTTAAACAGTTGTATTGTAACAGGAATAATGAATTACTTTTATTTGAATAAGTATATACTTATTCAATTCAATAAAAATAGACGTTGATTTTCATAATAATTATTTAATAATTTTAAAAGGCCAAATAATTAAAATTTCAAATTACAAAATAAATAAAATGTCAAAATAATTTAAAATGGTAAAACAATGAACAATAACAACGTCAAAATAAATCTCATTTACAAATACTTAATTATAAATACCTAATTATATACATAACTAATTTAAATGAAAATTTATCATTTAGAAAATCTATTGTGGAGCAGTATGCTTTATCAAAAAGTAATTTGAAGAGATATTTTTTTCAATTCATTTATGTTTTTACGGTCTCAGATTTGTTTAGGTAAATGATTGTACCGCTTTGGTGCCATTGCGTTAACACTTATATGTGAAATACCGTAAGCATATAAAATGTATTTTAATACTAATTTAAGTTACTTTTATGAAAATTACAGTTTGGTAATTTCAACTTCTTACATTACGTTATATTAATCGTCCACCTACGCTATGCTGATACCTATGGTAATGATAATAGTATTTAAGGCTGTAGATAGGGTGGCGGCCCGATCGCATCAATTGGGTCAATTGGCAGGGGTAAGACGCAAGCTTCCCCCGCCAATCTGCCTGAGCTGATAAGGATAGAACTTAGGACCGGGTTAGGACTTTTAAATCACATGGACCAGGTCCTCCCTAGAGAGGACGCCTGAGACCGGCTTTAGGCTTGTTAGGATGATTTTAGGAAAACCATCAAACACCTGATTTCTGGATCACTGCAATGACGTATCCGGTGAGCCAGAAAGCCGACGGAATTTTCCATCCCTCACCAAAAAAAAAGGTTAAAAACTCCCTGTCAATCTGAAGGTGGGACAGTTTTAAGAAAGTTGCTATACATAACTGATTTTTACATAATATGTGCCTGAACTATATTGATACAGATTATAAATACGAATAGACTGATGTAATTACATTTTATGCAGAAACGAAATATGTATGATAGGCTTTACCAATTGTTGTCATTTAAAACAATTTAATAATCTGTTACGGTTATGAAATATTCGACTCTTCTGATCTTATTTTGAGAGTCATAACAAAATAAGAAAAAAAAATCTTTATTTGCCTTTAATATAATGTTCAATGTAACAAAATATGTCTCCATTACATTACTAAGAAACCTGCGGTTAGCTGCAACTACGGTTCCGATATCATTAATTATTGTCCCCGTTATTATTAAATATCAATATATTATTATTGTTCGATGCAATAATTACGATCGAACACCTTATGCTGATCTAGCAAAAGGTGTGATGTGTAGTGGCGACACCAGTGCATATTCGGAGAACAAACCAGGTGCATTCCTAACTATTAGCAAAGCATATACCGTCCATCAGCATTTTAGCATAGCTTAGTACAGTTATACTTTTTATTACTTTTTTATAAACAGTGATAGAGTTATCAAAGAATTTAATTCGGCATCGAGCTTAGCAGCAGCCCATAGCATGTAGGAAACGTACCCTACATTTTTTGGTCCTTCGAGCCGGATGGAATTACTTCATTCCAAACAGTTCTTGGATAATGCATCACAGACCAGTATTGTTTTGCGATCGACCGAATTTACCGTATGAGTTCATAAGACTGAAATAATTCTTCTTGTAATACCTGTACTACAAAATTTTTTAGTTACAACTTAGCTTAAAAAGCTAAATATAACCATCTCATCTGACGAATTAAGTTTAAAGTCCCCACGATTATACCTACATAGTAATCATGAAACACAAGTATCGTAAGAAAATTTCAACTACCTACATAGATGCGAGGCACCGCCGATAACAAGTAGCTGCTTATATCTTGTTAGAGTAGCATTAACCTTAGAAAGAGGGATGAGGCGACTCAGTGGTGAACTCTACGAAGTTCGTATATAAACAAAAAAATTTGCATCATGTTTTGAGCCCGACCGTGTTTTATTACATTTGAATGTCATTTTGTTTAATTTTAGTCGTAACAAGGAAGCCTTACAGTTGCCCTATATCCATCTATCATCAATTTATGCACGGTTTTGTTTAAAGACGATTAGTTAAATATACTTACGTAATTTCAAAGACACACATATTATAGAGAAACCACACTCAGACACAGAACAAATCATATCATCACATGATATTTGCCCTGGGTGGGAATCGAACTTACGACCTCTGGCTTAGCGATCAGTATGGATAATCACTAAACCAACAGGCCCATCAACCAACACTGAAGATGTTACTTGTTTTAAACAAATAGTAATAAACTATGCACTTACCAACGGCGTGCATAGTTTATGTAATTTTGTATTTAAATTTAAATTCGAAGTTTTAAATTTAGAACAGTTTCGACCACTGTTTAAAACAATATATATTTTTAACGTGTATATTGACAAAATTCAGTCAAGAATATAAACACTTAAAAGTCTTTAACAAAATAACATTATCCTCGCTCTAGTCAAATAACGCCTTGGCACACAAAATAATGGTGTTTAATATAAAACGTGAAGAAAGCCAAAAGATGGTGGCGATATGGGTACAATAGGCCATAATCGGTTCCCGTCACGTTTTGATCAAACGATGAAGCGCAACGACCAGGTAGACGCATAGACAACACATCAAATCTTTTCATACAAACCGTTGAAAGGCACAGGCACTGCTATCGCCAGATAATAATTTTACGTGTCTTCGACGCTACATTTTTTTTGTGCTTTTTAAGGTCTTGTTAAGATAACATCTGCTTTTGTTTGTTTGGTTTTACCTGTTAGGTTGTTCGAAATAATTTGAAACTATCTATATTCAATGAAGTGTGTTGTATTTTAAGTAGATGATTAAAATTTCTAAGAGGCATAGATCATGCAGTTGATATTTATTTTGCGGTCATTGGAATCGTCATAATAACTTTAGAGTTCATACTAACTAATATAACTAATGTCAATGCAAGTGTGTTTGGTTTTTTCGGTTCCATTCCTCAATAGTAAAAACAAACCCGGGTAAGCTCTAGATGTTGAACTAGGATTTTTTAAATTGCATATAATGCGAATAGTTCCATTTTCAAATAATATATATTTATCATGTACCGGCGTGTATCAGACAGCGTTCAGTAGGTACAAACATTGAATTCAATAGCGTCAATCAATCCATCAATCAGACCACTAAAAGCTTAGTGGACTTTCAATTCAATCAAATCGATTGATTTCAATAATTAGGTATTTATATTTTACATTGTAAACAAATCAATTTATTTCATCAAATAAATTCTAAATTAATTGTCTCAATTTAATAAATGATAGGATAACATAAAAGTAAATGTTGGCGACTACGTATCTAATAGGAAAATTAGATTTAGTATTCTTGAATTGAAATGCATAGCGTGAATTGAAGACAACAGATAAAACGTTATTCTTTTCAAATGAAAGTTTGTTTTTAATCTGTTCTCACTACCTATTTAAAAGTTACGATGAATCATCTCTAAAGCCTTGACATTGACCATAACGGAGCAACACAATAAAAATGAATTTTACTGTTATAGTAATAACACTTTTGATCATTTTTCGAAGCTCAACGGTCATACCGAATCTGATGACCAGTTTGATACCGCGTCAGGTCAGTTTAACAGTTGTGTGCGAGAACGGGAAGGGACGAGCGACAACGCGTCAGTGCCTCCCGCACTACACCGCGGCGCGGCGCAACCGGCATTTATCGCGGCACATTCTCCTACTCCACGCGTTCCTTGCTCGGATATTACATCGCACATGTATTTCGCGAGTGTCCTGTGAGTAACTTTTGTGGCGTTTCTGGATGTTTTACGTGTCACAGCAATGGCTGGACGGCTTGTGTTGTTGTTAGTGATGTGGGCGGGTCTCGTGGTAGCTGACAGGAAATTAACTGTTGTCGAGAAGTTAAGAGAAGAATCGGAATTGTCGCAGGTATTTCAAACTTTCTTAAAAGTTTTTAAAATGTTCAAGAAACTATGCCTTTCGTTTAAATAGTTTGTAAAGGAGAGTTTAATGGTAAAACCTCTTTAGTTAAGCTTACTGCGTACCTTAACGTAGGTTTGAGCGGTAAAAAATAAACTTTGAAGGCTATATTTACAATCGTTGAGCTCAGTACTAAAATTACAGTTATATTTAATATACCTAAAGAAGTAGCTAAGTCTTAAAGTTCTAAATATTCTGCAAGGAATATTCTTATTCCACAGTAAAATTATCTATTTATATTTTCAACGGTTTCGAAACAAATTTACTTTTCTAAATCATCTGGGCGCGTTAAAAACATTTCTTATTAATATTTATTTATTCCTATGTACACAACATAAACATTTACAGAAAAATATATAAAGGAATAGTGTGCACAGAGGTGAGCTTAACCCATAATCAGGTCTCTCTTTCAAACCTATGAGAGAAGAGAGTTACATTTAACATACTATTATTTTAAGCTACTGTAGACTTAAAGGTCTCAGTGGATCGTGTTTTTAAATTACAAAGAAAGAAACAGTTTCTCTCAAGATGCATCGTGAACAAGCAAATGACAAAGTATACCTTTGTTTCAAATACGTATGTTCTTCAAAGTCAATGCACATTTTCTTATGGTATTATCGCTTTGTGTATATTATACAGGGGTTAAGTAATATGAACAGATGGTCTTAATTATTGCACATACGGTTGGTGACCGGTAGGAATCTGGCTTGGTACATGAGTCATACGGTTAGTAAGACCCCTTATCTTGTTATAGGTACTCTAATAAGGAATAACTCAACGATTTCAACTTTCACAGTTCTATTTTATCTTTTGTGTGGTAAAATTTAGGGAATTGTTCGTGTAATAAGTTGTTGTAGTAGAACGTCACGCCCTTTTGTATTCTTTTACCGTTAATATTAATAAATGTTTAAATAACTATTGTTATGAATTTTCTTCCTTTTTACAAACTGATTCATAATGAAATACTAGAAGAACCCTTAACTCTAGCATGCTTTGATGAAAGTAGTTAGTAGCATTTTCGTTAGGTTAAGCAGAGTGAACTTTCGCTCACAGCGTCAAGCAAAAGGTTAAATGCACCTATTTTTAGAACCTAATTTTCCTTTCGTAACAATTCGTAACATTTCCTTTTGTAACTCTTTCATAGGTTTTACTCAATCGATATATTTCAAAGTAGCCTATTATAATTAATATTATTAAAGATAAAAGGAGTAATAAATTACCTATACCGACTTGAAATATAAAGAATTGATAGTTCACATATTTTAAGTGTGTGCTGACGGATTAAGAATAAAGAGTATCACCGCCCCTATTCATCGAGTGGGTGTCGTAGGAGCCGACTAAGGAAAAGATCTACGCATAACAACCGCACTGCAGAGAGAGGGAAAACTTGACACAAACCCTGTACCAACCAACCCGTCTGGCCAGCGGGGTATAGTAGGCCCAAACCTCCTTTCTAAGGAGAGGCTTATGTCCAGCAGTGGACTGTTAAAGGTTGTAGATGATGAGGTGGATAATAATTAGGTACATACTAGTTCTGAACTACGCACCAACTGAAAATTATGTTAAGAAAAAAAGACAAAATAAAACCACCAACCAATAGTCTCAAAATGAAGACTTACAAGGAAAATTGTATAGCAAGCATTCGATGTCAGTCATGGAGAAATAAAAATTTATAAAATTATTTGTGCTACTCAATGTTTATCCACACAGAATAAATGCCCTAGTAAAAAGTAAATGAAATGAAAGCTGATTTCAGTCGGGTTTCCTTTAGATGTTTAAAATCCTACAATTACTTTCTTTATTTACAAAGCTTTGCCCTGTTTCTTATAGTCGATAAACCAAAATATATTATTTGGTCACGGCCCGGTTTTCTGAAAATTTACATATTTTGCTTCTGTTACGGGAGGATGCTGCGAAAATAAAGTTTAGCAACAAAGTAGTTCTCAAACTGCACTTTAATTATATTTGGTCGGTTACGTTGGAGCGTCCCTGTGCACGGGTCTTGGTGTTATTATATTACTCTTTAATATATATATTTACATATAACGTCGAGTATTAAGATAATATTCGGTTTAGAGATAAGAGTTACTACAACGCTGTATCTATTAGGTCTCAAAATTCAAATAATAATACTACAAGATACTGTATTGGATTGGATTGTTTACTATATGGCCTTTTTGTCCGTAGTATTCTGTGGTTACTCATCAAATTATTTGAATACTTACAGCTTAAAGCTTTTTTTTTACGAACACCCGGTTTTGGTTTCATATTTCGATACCGGTATCAGCATCAGTGGTGGAATTGTCTATTAATATTATTATCATCTGTTCTTTGTGGTTTGTTACGGATCTACAAACCACAAAAAACAGATATCTTGAATTGAATTTAAATATTGCTTCTCGCACTGCCTCCGATTTCTGATCCGTGATTACGGATTCTAAGGCTGACTGACTGTCTGAATTTGAATTTATATATGATTTACGGACTATTGCGATCTCTAATTCTAATCCAAGCAATTCAGGGGGCACCTTTGGGCATAAGTCATTTTACGCGGAGCGTTCAGGTCGTTGATCATGAGTCCCTTCGATCGCCGTCATCTTTTGGCCAATTATACGTACGAATGACACAAGAATTCTGGATGCGTTCAAACAAATAATAGTATGGCTACCTTGTTCCGTCAATAATCTTGTCCTGAATGGAGATTCATAGATAACAGAAAGAAATCGGATGACGAACATCAGATCCTGTGCGTAAGCTACCATAGAAATATTTCTACGACTACTTCGGATCGTATTTTCACGGATTTGGATCGAACGTAGTGCGGCACCGCTTTTATTAGTGTCAGCCAGAAGTTTTAATGATTCTTCTCTTCCATATTCCTGAGTTACAATAAGGTGCTAAAATCAAGATTATAGAAGTGCTTTTTTTTTTAGATAATTTAAAAAATTCACAAGCTACAAGATACATAGAAAAGAAAATAAAAACAGTAATGGCCACATTAGATAATACCGTCATTGAACAGTAGCAGTATCAACTATCAAAATGAGCAATATTAATAATGGCCTTCGTTTCATAATAATTGAGCAGAACGTCTCAAATGGTTGCATCCGTTTGTCTTATGCCGGTTCAATTGTAGTTGAACTTAGTCAAAGGAGGGTTTGGATTTATTAATGGTTGTACAAACGTAGTAAAGTAATTAGGTCCTTATTGAGAACAGCTATTGAATTAGACAAGCTTTTGAATGATGTGTTCTCGTGTTACGGAATCACGTTAATTGAACAATTCTCTTTTCAAATAGCTGTACGATGGCAGTAATAGTTTTAGTTTTACTTATACAATATGTATTGTGTGTGTTTAGTATATACAGGCATGTTGGTCTAGTGGTTAGTGGTCCTGACTCCTAAGCCAGAGGTCGTGGGTTTGATGCCCACCCAGGACAAATAATAGTATGATGAGCACGACCATTGGTTCTGTGTCTGGGTATATGTATAGAATGTATGTTTTTCTCTCAGGAAACCCCTATAAAATTTGGCCCGGTCAGGGAATCCAACCCACTAAGGCAGTGCTTTTCAAATATCACGAGAAGCCTAGCCTAGAATAGCTAAGTATAAATAAGTTTGGGAATTACTAAATAACGTAATTTGAAGTCTTTACTGGTGTTTTCGATTCCGTTCAGATTTTGACATAACATGGGATCCGTGACAGTAGTGTATTTCTTTCTTCTTAATATGATGTATTCACTAATGAGCAGAATTCGATAGAAGAAAAACTACATGTACGAATAGCAAAACTAGCACAGCTGGACTGTTCACCAGCCTGCATCACTTACAACTATAATTTTTATCCCTACTTGCCAAATAACAATCAAAATTCGAATACAAAATACAAATATCAAATTATCTTTTAGGCAGAATACTTTTGCAATGCTTTTCTGCTAACATAATTTATTATATTAAAATTCTCAGGGCTCGCGATTCAGCGCGCAGTAACACAGGAACGTCTTAGCAGCTTCCTCTGAGATAATTATTGTGGACAACGAGTCCAGTTGTCAATCAACAGACAGATTAATTTCAATTGAGCTTCCTTTGTAAACGTTGCAAGTAACGATAATTATCACATTACTTTATTTAATGCGGTTGATAATAAAGAGAGTTATGCTTCGACAGATATGGTTCAGTTCGACCAGAATGATATCAAAGTCATAAAGAAAACTGATGTGAAGGAATTCTTTAGTTGCACACATTCCACAATTGTTGAAGGAATTCTTTAGTTGTAGAGTGTAGTTGACCTTCGCATCTTCCTGTTTAGAGAGGAGGGTGTAGCCATAGCATGGCAAATCGGCGATAGTAACCGTGAGGTGACTCGACCACCAATGACATAAAAAAAGTAATTACATTTTACAAATGTCCTTCAATGAAAATAAGACCCAATTTATTGGTTCTGGAATGCTATAATAAATTGCTCATAATATTTAAAATTTATGGTCTCCGTTTATCTGTCTAAGTGTCAAAAAAATGTTTTAATGAAAATTGTTACGTGTGTGACCGGCATTCAAAGCTTCAGCTAGTATTCTGTACGAGATTTACCAAATTTAAAGTATTTTAATAACTGTTGTTTACCAAACTCGGAAGGAAGCGGATTCGGTTTACACTAAAATGAAATTTTCAAGACTCCGACTGTTTGAGGATAAATATATTTCCTTTCCTAAGATATCTAAATGGAATGAAGTATAGAAACAACAGTTGTAAAAGACAATTTACCTAACTACATGAATAATGAACAGCTGGGTTGACATGTAATTTCACAATACAGATACCTAAATATGCAACAACTATACTTATTATAATAAGCACGTTGCAGCACTGGCATTTGTAATCAAACTCCACTTTTATTGACTTACTTTTTGTATGTTTTTTCTTCAATATGAGGCGTATTGCTGAATCGGAATT